ACATGGCGCAATATGGTTGGTCTTCGGACGCAGAAGACTACGTTCTGCGTTCGATCTCCGCATAAAATAATTTCTCCGAAATTTCACTGTTGGTTTTGGGTTACTTGCTTGTATTTATGTCTAGTGGGAGAATTAAATAGTTAATGATCTTTGTTGCGAGTTGAAATCTTAGGCCTGGTTTATGTAATTATCCTATACATAACATGAGCAAAAGATTTGTTCCATGCTAGAATATATATGATTATAGAGCAAGTATTTTTAACGTTTTAATTTTGTAGAAAAATTCAGCATTTGCATATGGATAAATGGAGATTGCTATAGACAATAAAATTTTTATGTAAAAATTTTGGAAAGGGGAAAAAGATTACAATATCTGACCTAGTTGAGATGATTCTACTAATATCTATTACATATTACAATTGACGTCCTTCCTCATAATTAGATAAAATGTTGATTCAATATAATATTTATGAGTTGTGGGCTTTCTCCTATAAGGAAACTAAGCTGAAAAACAAGCAGTCATATATCATTCTTACTGTTGATGTTAGGAGTTGAATTGTTGTTAATGGTATATATCAACCTTATTGGCAATGACATATGCCTCTACGTAAAGATGATGGTGATCAATAGAGTCAACAAGCGCTAGTTTTAGTATTAATGGCGTGAATCGACTTTAAAGACTATGATATGCTTCAACTTTGTTAGGGATAAAATGTGGTATAGTTGGAGAGCATTATCATTAGTGTTAACAATATGCATTGTCCTTATAAGAGATGGCACAAATCGACATTATTGGAGATGGAGATCATCACGGTTGGTGCACATCGGTATTAGTGTCGATGTGTGCATCAGCGTTATAGACAATGATGTGCATCGACATTGTTGGTGCAACATGTGATGAGCTTGTAGTGCATCAATGTTTATGTTGGGGTCAATGACATACATCAACTTTATAGGCGATGACATATGTCAGTATTATTGATGATGAAGAGCAACAAAGTTAGAGGGTGTACGTGTTTATGTTAATGGTGTACATTAGCCTTAAAGTTGATAGCATGCATTGACATTATTGGTGATTGTGGTTGACATAATCTGCATGCATTGATATTGGTTTCGATGACATGCATCAGCCTTATAGGTGATGGTGAGCATATTGGTTAGAAAGATCATGATTGGGCGACGATAATTATTGAAATTAGTCATCAACATTAATTATTGGGCAGTATTCTCTTTAACTTTGAGCTTATATAGTTATATTAGCTCCAAGTTCCTCTCATGTGGACAATGAGGGTTTCTTGATAATTTTTTTGAATCTCATTATGATAAATTTAATTAAGTTGCCAAAATACTCAATTTGACAACCTATTTTAATTTCCTCAATTATAAATTATTATTTTAGCATTTACATGCTTAATGACTACATTATTAAGTTATGTTGAGCTTTTTAGATTCCTTTAATCGAGATGAACATTTTAATTGTAAGCATGCAACTCTAGAAAGATGATTATTTGGCCCATCAAATTATGTCATAAAATTTTTAATGATACTTCAACTGCTTGATTTAGATTTAGGCTTATTTAGAGTCAAATCAAATCGCATTTAATATCATAGATTTCATCTAATCAAGGCAATTAATTCGATGGTACATTTGCAAAAATTTTAAGTTTGAATTGTCTTAAATTAATTCCAAAATATTCCAATCTAAAAAATTTTAAAACTTCATGTTTAATTGAATGAGTCGAATCAATTTTCTAATGACATCAAAATTTTAATTAAAAAAAATCCTTCTTAAACTTTTTATTGAAGGAACATTTAAATATAATCATTTAAAAAAATTTATTATCGATGGCAATTCATTATTGCGTACCTTCATCATTTCAATGAAGAACAACCTCTCCATGATATTTTCTTAGCACATTTTGGTTTTCAATCACATCATGCTTGCTCTACTAGGGTTTCCGTCCCGTTTGGTTCCCCATTCGCCACTGACTGGTTCGTGGTTGTTGGTGGCTTTTCTCTTCTCAAGGAAGCTTTGATTTCTCGTTTCTTGTTTTCTTCTTTATTTTGCCTTGCTTTGCTTTGCTTTTGGTAGGTTTTTTTTTAGTCGATGGCGGCTAGGAGATTAGTTGACCCTGGTTTTTGGCTGGTAAAGTTGCTTTGAAGTCTTTCCGTGATGCTCTTTCTAGTGATTCTTCCTCTTCCCTCTTTTTGGATCTCAAAATTGCTTCCGTTCGTGGTTTGCCGTCGCTGTGGATTTCGGAACAAAATTTTTTGGCATTAGCCTCTCCGTTTGAATTTGCTTTGGTTGGTAAATTCCCTTCGTGTAGACCACTGCTTGAGGCTGTTCGTAAATTTTGCTTTAACCTCAAGCTCAATGGGGAATTTTCATTTACTATTCTAAATCCTCGGCGTGTTTTAATCAAACTCTCTAATGACCTTGATTACTGTCGTATTTTTGCTCACCATTCTTACTTTGTTAATAACTATTACATGAAGATTTTTAAGTGGTCACCATCCTTTGTTGTTGAAATCGAATCACCCATTATTCCCATTTGGGTCTCTTTTCCAAATATGCGGCCCCATTTCTTTTCACCAAGGATTTTGCATGGTTTAGGATCTATGTTTGGTCGGCCTCTAAAGATTGATCATGCTGCGTCGGCTGGCTCTAGGCCTTCAGTAGCTCGTGTCCTGGTTGAATTTGATGTTTCTAAGTCCTATCCTGATAAGATGTCGGTAGGTCTGGAAACTATAGGGTATATCCAACAAATAGTTATGAAGGAATTTCCCTGTTATTGCTCCCACTATAATTCTTTGGGGCATTCCAAACCTGAATGTAAAATTTTCATCCCCAGTTAGCTATAACTCAATCTGCGTTATTTAAGGCTATTGAGCCTGTTTTGAATAATGTTAATACTTCGGTTGAACTTGATGATTACCTCCAGCCTGTTTTGCTTAAGGCTGTTGAGCCTATGGAGTGTGTCGTGTAGCCTGAGATTGAGACGGACGTTCTAGCAACTATGGTTGCTTTGGTTCCTCCTTTGGAGGTTTCGGTGGAGGCTCCTAGGCATGTGGTTTGTTCCCATATTAATGCTAATGCGTGTGTTATTCTGTTTGCTAGTGATCTTTTCCCTATAGTTGTTGAGAAGTCTCCTATTGGTTATGTTTCTGGTGAAAAATTGGTTGATTCTGTTAAGGGTCCATGTAATATTAATTTGGTCGTGGATGGTTGCTCCACGGATTTGGGTGGATCAATTGCAGTTTCTCCTGTTATTGAGTTGGATACACCTATGGGGGTTCTAATGTCTGCTCAATTTATTGATGCGCAAGTGTCTTTAATTTCCAATATTGCTTTACAAGTTCATTTAGCTAAGTCTAGATATTGCTATGTGGACCACTCAGATTGGTTGAATGTTCCCCTTGTTAGTCTGGATGGGGATCAGACGGTTTTTTGCTGACTCTTCTGGGGGTGGTCAGGAATCGTATAAGGTGCATGTGGAGGAAGATGATTTTACCTTGGTCAGAAATCATCGTCGTCGGAAATCCAAATAAGCTTTTTTGGGCTTCCTCTATTTGGTTGCTGTGGTTTTTTAGTTATATGGTTCTTATGATTTCGATTTACGCATGTTTTTCATTAGCTTGGTGGGTGTGGCCGAAATTTTTAGTATAGGCAATGATGAGGCGATCCTGCGAGCTATCTGATGGTACGGCTTGTTGGCAACCATTGCTGGTGAGTTCTTGCTGGTCTTCGTGCGGGATTTTATTTTCACTGGCCTGTTGCTTGCCCTACAAAGGGCCCTAGTCTATCATTTGGGTGATCGTAGTGTTTTGCCACGAATTGAGCCCGCTTTGATGATTCACCCCTTTTCTTTTGATCGGTTGTTCCATTGTGTATTTCTTCTTTAGCCGTGCTATGCTTATTTTCCTTTCGCTGGTTGTATCCTCCCTTTTTATGAAATAAAATTTCTTTCATCCCAAAAAAAAGGGTTTACAAGAAACAGAGAAATAACAATCATATTATTCAATTTATTTCTCATTTATATATATATCAACATTTTCTGTTTTATACGGAAATTTTTTAGTATTATTTTAAAAAGAGGTAAATCTGTGTTAGGTTTATAAATATATATAAGATTAGAATATCATACATAATGCCAGCAATTTTATGCTGAGCTGAAGAAAAAATAACGTTCTCTTTGTTGTGAAGCAAAGGTCAAAACTTAAGTTTTGTTTGAGATGACTTTCTGACTACTTCTTAAAATAATTTTTTAATAAAAAAATATTTTATTTGCTAAATAATTGCTTTAAGATGCAATTAAAAAACTGACCCAAACCAAACCAAATTTTAATCATAAATAAAAATCTATTTATATCATCGCCATAATGCTTAACACAAATCCCTTCTTAGACTCTACAGTGAGAGTAAACATCATCATCATCATCACCACTTGATATGATGTCCTATGTAGCTGAACATTTAGGGTTTAAATCTTACTATGAACTGTGAGATTCATGTATCAAACATAATTTACATTTTTATTTAATATGTAATCTATATAACACAAACAGAATTATATCATGATTTAGGCTTCGTTTGGGACGGCTTTTTTATTACTTTCTAAAATGAAATTTTAGTACAATTTTTTTTTTTTTTGTACTAAAACTCCGTTTTAGAAAGCAGTAAAAAAACCGTCCCAAACAAAGCCTTAGACTTCATTTGGGATGGCTTTCTAACTATTTTTTGAAACAGTTTTTTTAGTACAAAAATTTTAATCTTTGCATTAAAAAACTATTTTAAAGAGCAATAAAAAAATCATACCAAACAAAACCTTAGCGTAATCAGACTAAGCTTCTCCGCATTTAAAATTGATGTCCTAAGCTGAGCAAATGCATGATATTAAGAAACTGATAAAGAAAGGAATTTGAACCCAAGGCTTTACTAAGCACTTTTACTAATAAAGCACTATAATTTAAGCAATTTTAAAACTATTCACCGGATCATATTTCCACCAACAGTAGAGTACAAATTATGAGTAAAATAAATGTGCTTTTTTTATTAACACTGTACAACAAAAGGACCCTACTCAGTGCGCCTGAAGCTAATTCTAATATATACAATCTTATCCTTTCATTTTCGAAGAGACTAATTCTACAAACTGAAAGCATGCTATAAAAGGCTCCTATTCCATGCAGTTAAGCTTTTTAATGCTTCCTAAAGTAATTTTTTAGAAAAAAAATTTACTAAAAAAAGCAATAAAAAAGTCGTCCAAAACGAAGCCAAAGTGTAGAGGTAACTAGCCGTATGAAAATCAATCAACATTTGTAAGGTCAGTATCTGCAGGCATATATAGTCTTTGACCATCAGCGATGAGATCCACATCAGGGATCTTGCCTCCCTCCTCTGATAATATACAAGACCCCGAGCACTTAAACTGCTGCTCCGCAGAATTGATCAGCTCTTTCATTGTCTTCGGAACCCATATCACTATGCCCTCTCTTCTTTCATCAGAGGGGCCCCACGGATGGAAAGGGAATATTGTGCACTTTCGACGCTGTGTTTTGTCTGTGATGTAAACAGAATTTTTTTTTTAATTATAAATTTTAACAGTTCTTCAGATTATAAAAAACGGTTGGAGGAAGATATTGTGCAAGAAGTATACCTCTAACCTCCTGAGAGCGATCTGGAAATTTTAACAGTTCTTCCGATTTGGCATTTTCAAATAGCTTTATAAATGATGAACTCCCACGCTTCCGTGCTTCATCTAGAGGAGTTGTGCCCCATCTGAGTTTTGTTAGAACAATGCAATAAATGATGAGATTGTTTCATAATAGAAGAAGAATACAGAATGCTGACGCGAATAACAGCTAGAAAAGTTCAGGCCTCGAGTAATCTTTTGGAAGGTCATTACACACAGGAAAATAACTCCATACAATACATGGGAGAATATAAATATAATTCAGAATATTGACACTTGTAACAATTTTAAAAAAAGATTGGTAGCTCTAATAATATAAGAGTTTAGATTTTATATTGCACAGGGTGATTTTAGAAGGGTAAAACTGATAAATGTTCTTTCTTCCAAATGAAAGAAAAAAGAGAGGAAAGAATGCAATAGATAATGCAACAGGAAAGGGCTAAAGTTGTCAAACATAAGTTGTCGAAATATATGCAGGGAAATCACATTTAGAAATGGATTACAGAGATCCTTACGCTTGGATTTTGTTCTTTTTTTAGCAAATGTAGCATATCTCCATGCAATAATTAAAGAAGTATGTGAAATGTAGATTAAGGCTTCCTTTGAGACCGTTTTTTTTTTTTTTTTTCTTAAAGTAAATTTCTAGTTCAAATTTTTTTTGAACGAAATTTGTATACTAAAAAGCTGGTCTGAAAGCAATAAGAAAATTATCTCAAATGAAATCCTAAATTAGGTAGGACTTCTAAAGGCCCATATAAAATGAAGTTCTCATGTCATCTAGTCTTTGATTTTTAGCTATTCACTCCTCTTTCCCATATACAAACAGGATAAAAATACAAAAAAATTAGAGAAAACACATTTATTGAAATGAAAAGGCTTCCCATGCCAACTACTCTTGTTATTTCTCCCTAGTTCCTCATTCATTATAACATAATACAAAAATATGGACTCGAATTGTTTGAATTGCCAAAGTACTCTTGATAACAAATAAGACAACAGGAACGCCCATGGTAATTAGATCTAAAATCTATTAAAGAATTGTTCATTCAACCTAATGTCTTATTGTTCACTCAACCTAATGTCTTATCAGGTGAATTCTCAGAACATAAGAATTGCTTTCTCTCGTTGTGCTCTTCTCAACTGCAACAGCCTTTTTGAACAAACAACTATCTCAGGTACACACAAAAGCAAAGAAAAAGAACGAAGAAAAACCATGAATCAAGTGAAGGAAAACAACAACAACAAACCTTGCAGAAGATCCATAAAACAAGATTCTGCAGAACTGCAAACATCATTAAAAAAAATGAAGATTTGACATCATTTACTACACTGAAATCTAGTCAGCCTGAATCCGGAACTATTAGCTACCAATCTAATGAAAGTGATGAGACATCGAGATATCCTGAAATCTAGATGTCAACAATTTAGGTTACATCTAGATTTCATTAAATTAGGACTTAAATGCTATTTACAGATTTGATACCTAGATATGTAAGGTTACATCTGGTAATAGCATGGCATCATATTGTTGAGGTCAGTAAAACAAACCTCATCAGATAGCATATTTTGTTTGCTTTCTACAAAACTGCTATGTTTTAATGAGAGTTGTTCGCATAAGAGATTAAGAGGTTCAAGAAGGCGGGCCCAACAATCAACATGTATCCGTCCACTAAAGAAGAATGGCTCCTCACAAGCATCACATTAGCCGATAATGTTGGCTCAAACTCCAGGACTTCTCCCTGGCATGGATGATGACAATGCTTAAAGATCAACCACACCTACCTCTTTCCATAACGCTATTTTCCCTTCTAAAACATTAATAGTAAAATACATGAACATTTGTATGTTTTACTTCAATCCTACCAGAGCATTTAAATGTTCATTTACTAATAGTAAATACAGGAGGTATTCTATCCTCCTGAATGATATACAAGATTCATTACTAATAATTTAAATGAGACCCAACTGGATGAGGACAGGAGGTATTCTATCCAATACTAAGCTCAGTTTAAAATGCACTAATTAAAGGTGGATTAATCTTATCCAAAGCAATACCATTCCATCTTGTCTTATTTGTTATTTTAGTTATGTTATCGTTTGATGAATAATTAAAAAAAAAAAATACAAAGCTTCATGTTGCAAATTTGGATCACAACCGTGAAGACAAAAAACAAATAAAAAGATGCACTAAAGCAATGATTCATAGAAAATTTCTGGGCCACCGTTGCATTTCAGTCACTCAAAATAAATAACTTAACAAAGCTAAATTTGTTTAAATTTAAATATTTATTTTTGTTTGATATTTATTCAAATGAGACATGGAATAATTAATAAATCCTCATCTAAAGTATCAAAGTTCTATTTATTTATAATTAAACAGCATATTAGTGTCAGAAACTATCTGTACTTACAAATATATTAATTAATTAACTATGGATGCCAATGAGAATGCTAACTCTTAGCAATTTCTATGCATGTATTTCGTGTTGGGTAAAACAATAGTGAGAAGCCGATTAAAATATCAGTTTTAATTAAAATTGAACACATAACTTGTCCGTTCCGGCTAAATGCTAGCATCAGAGTTCTACCAAACAAAACCTATGGAAGTGATGAGTCTGGTAATAAAAGATTCTTGTTCCTATTATACCTAAACAAATTCTAGGAATTTATTGTATCGGCTATGAGATGCAACTTGCTGGTTGTCAACTATATCAAATTAGTGCAATAAGCATAATCATAATCGTAGTCAACATCTTTAGCCTTATCTCAGCAATTCGGGATCATCTTTATGAATCCATGATATATGTTTATTCTTATTAAACATTCTGAAAACTATTTTTCACAAATCCTTCAAACAAACTATACAAGTTATCTTAAGATCAACCCATTTTCCTTTCTAATCCCCCAACATTAATGTTACCCACATATTTAATGGTTGCATTAGCTACACTTAGTTATCAATGCCCAAATCACATAAGTTTATTTTCAACAGTTTTATGATAAATAAATGTTACTCCGACTATAATATAATCATTCCACAATTTATCCTTCCTAATATTGTTACACAAGCATATTAATAATCACATTTCCGTCATACTAAATTTAGTTGTAAAAAGACTTGTTTTTTGCTACCCAATGATTTAATCCATAAAACATCTTCAATCTAATTTCAATTTCACAAAAATCTTTAAGCGACAATAATATTCCTTTATCGAATAATACTCCCAAGGCACTTCTCCATTTTTAACACTCAACGTCAACTCTAAAAGGTATATCCTTATTCTTTTATATAATAAATCCAAAATACTTAAATCTATCACACTTGAGTATGATTTTATATTTTAATATTATTGATTGAGAGCTATTACTATGAAGCTATGATGCCGCTAAAATTCACATCATCTTAGACTTCATTCTACTAATTCAAAGATATACTCTAAGGTATCTCTTCTAAATATTTTTTCTATTATAATTTTTTTACTTATTTCAACATAGATGTTTGCATTGGTTATCAAAATACTTAAAAAGAATATTTAAAGTAAATTTGAATACAGCCAATTACACTAATTCTAACAAATTAACTTCTAAAACTGAGAAACTAATCCCCAAGGGAATATAAGATTTTGGTCATTTATCATACCTGTCAACAGCAAAAACACTTGCACCAGCTTCTAAAAGCAACTCGGCCATCAAATATAATCCCTCGCAAGCAGCAATGTGTAGTGGTGTACGGTGGTCATAGTCTTTTGAATTTGGATCAGCTCCACAGGACAAAACCCTCTTCAGAAAGCCTGAATCACCTCTTGAAACAGCTTCACAAAGCTGGTTACCAGCATCATTGAGACCTAATATTGCTCCTTTATTAATGAGTAAAGTAACCATTAAATCATGTTTGCACTTGATTGCCTCCAACAATGGTGTGCTCCCATACTTGTCTGTAAGTGTGTGAATGTATTAGTACCACAGAAAATCCATGATAGACTCCAATTAGCATAATGTTAAACATATCAAAGGACATTGGCGTTTATGTAATCTGAGACATGTACCAATAGCATTGACATCCACACCCTCTTGAATAAGAAAAAGAGCTATATCCTCGTGTCCTCTTGATGCTGCAATATGCTGAAAAGAGTTAGGAAAGCAAATCAGACACGGTATTAAACATGAAGAATACAGATATGCATTTGTTCAAATTGAGAATTATTCAATGCATCATGGCCAACACAATCTCAATTACATTCACATATTACACTATCACATACTAACCAATGCGGAGCGCCCATCATAATCAGTTTTCTTAGGGTCTGCACCTGCACGAATCAAACCCTTGAGATGATGCAAGTCTCCATGAGAAGCAGCATTATTTACTTTGAGAGTAAGCTCCGACTCCTGCCTTCCAATATGCAGTGTGATATCTGATTCTAGTTGCTTAATCCAAGTATTGCTTGCACGACTCTGCAAATTAATGCACAGGCCATTGCAAGCATTAAATCACACAATACTGTTGACGGTAAAAAATTTCTCTACACACGAGAACTGAAACTCAGTTTTTCACAATGCGAAGTTATTTGCCCGTGGCACTAATGAAAAAAATTCTGAACAATCAAGGAATCCTGATTTCTTAATGTTGTGATGAAGATATACCTCAAGAAGGTTGCTTAAGACTGTCCTTGCATCAACAAAATATATCTCTAGGATATTCATAAAACTTTGTTTATCAAGTTGCAGAAGTCTGCAGAGCTCACAAACACGAATAGTAAAAGGCTGAGGCAAGTTACAAAGAATGGCAATCTCTCCAAATGAACTATTAAGGCCAAATTGTGAGATCGTCTCTTCTGTTCCATCTTCACCAATCCCAACCCCTTCCTGCAGGAAGAATCTTCCGCAAATTTCAGGAAAAATCATAATATAAAAAACTATTAGCAGGCCATGACTTTAAAAGCCCACCAGTTTGACAAAAGAAATAGGAAAAAAATCAGACCTCTCCACTATTATATGCTTTAACCAAAATCAGTAATTTCAAGATATGTAAAATCCAAATAATACTTCAAAAGAGGTCTAGAAGAAAGAGAGTTATATGGTACTAACCGGATAAGGCCCTCATCATAAGACTCATTAAGACATCATCATAATCATTATTAAACTTACACCCAACAATTGAAGGTTGACTTTATAATCCACCTCAGGTTCACAGCCATTCATTTTTCTAAAATTCAACCATAGGTGATAACTATAGGTAAAGCCTTTTTGAATAACTTCTAAATGTGTTATCATTGACCTGATCAATTCACTATCAATTCCTTCAAAATTAATTATACGTACTCATCTTATTTCAGCATTTTCTACCTTACGTTGTTCATGCCCAGGACAGTTTTTTATTGGCTATAACTATCATCATCTTTTTAGCAAATAATCAATTTTCACTCTACACTTTTTAGTTATATGCTAGCCATTGATCTTCGTATTTTCATTTTTACCATAATTGTAAATTTGTGAGTCACGATGAAGCAAATTTGAGCATACATGCAAGACCATTTGAAAAATAAAACGAAATTTACAAGGAAATTAACGATGAATTCAACATTTCAACTACACCACTGTTAAACCACAGGCTAATGATATGGTGTTTCTGTATGCAAGCAACATAAAAGTTCTTTTTTAAGTCCTTAACAGATGCTATAACCTTAACTTTAACAGTCTTTCCACAAAATAGACCTTCAAAAGATATCTAGGTTTTTCTTCTTTTTAAGTAGAAAATATCTAGTTGCATCACAAATGAATTGGTGATATCAAATTCTGATGGCAAAATAAGGTTCATTTCGTTGCATTTAACTTAGAAACCAATGTTTTGAATAACCATGGAATTTGTTAAACCCATCATTTAGTTGGATAGAATTAGATACTAACATTGATTTCAAACTCCAAAAACTACATCAAAACCCTCAAAAAATAATGATTTCTATTTCATACACATATGAGTGAAAGAAATCCGCATTTTCTAAAACATGTTTTACATCCACAAGCACCTAAATGAGGCCTAAGACAGCTTTCAAACATAGTTATACATTGATAACATTAGCATAGTAGTCATTGGGGAATTCAGGTAACGAAAATAATTAATAGTGATTGAAGTCTTAATCAAGATAAATTTTAATGCAAATCATGACAAATCAAACTTTTCTGGAATACTACTACTTATATGACTATTGACCTGCCAACCCCAAAAGATAATGCAAATGCGTTAATTATAAAAAAACTTTTCAAAATGGATAGTGATGCATGACATCTTAAGATCTAGCATTTCCTAATGTAGATCTTAGATGAGATGCACCAAATACATACACAAAAGATCAAACTTGAAAAGAAACTGGAAAATCACTTTTGTAATGTGGTTTTCTTGACTGTTAAATTTCTTGACTAAATTCATATTTGACCAAATTTCACATTACAACTGGAAAATCCAAATTGTGATAGATTTGACTAAATTCAATCACAAAAACAAACCAAAAACTAAAATATAGAAAAGAAAGAGATCAAGGAAAGGAATCATTGAAGTTTTAATCTTAAGCTTCAAACTAATACAAAAAGCAGACTTCTCCCCAAATTTAATAATCACAATTTCCACCACTCAAAGAATTCGCATCCAAGTACCAGACACAAAATTTGAGATAACTCTGAAATTTTATGAAGCAACTGAATGAACTTTATAATAACCAAAGACCAAAATTAGCATCTTCGTTAAATCCCAAAATTGTATAAATTATCAAAAACCGCAACTCACAATTTCAGCAAATCCTACAAGTTGGCAAAGTCTCGGAAATTGCTACAATTGCAGGTCACAAATCACCAGAAATCAGGCATATTAAGAAACCAAGCAACTCACTTCAATAATTATGGCAATGAAATATTAGCTATAATTCAAGCCCTCAAAGGAAACAAAGCGAGCTTGTGATCCCATCTTCAAAACAGTGAAACAACATCTTACAAGGCTTTATTAATAGAAAACAACTGATGGAGTGCAACAACGATAAATAACAACATTGAAACAGTGATGGGAGGAAAGTGATGAACTATAGCTAAACCGAGAAACCAACAAGCATGAAATTTATCCAGCAAGACATCTAGATAACACAACTTTATCTCCATAGGGATCATCCTCATAGGCACACTTATAACAAAATAAACTCAAAAAATATTAGAAAGTTATCAAATAGAGATAACTAATATCAAAACTCAAAATGTGAACATGCTTGTCATAACACTTACACTCCACGTCTTCGAAGAAAATAAATTTTGACATTTGCATCAGATACTTTTAAGCTTAAATGAAGTTATCGAAAGAATCATTATAAAAAGGTCAGCAACTTTTGGAGGGGATCTATAGAATTAAAAAATTAATATGGGATTTTACTCAAATAAGAAACATGATAGGATAATAGAAAGTGAGAAAATTATTCAACTAATGAAAACTAAATTAAATTCATCATCAAAATATGCATGATACTAGAATAAAATTAGGTACGAAAATGTAAAATCTTACCAGCAATCCATGACATACAAAATAAAGTTGATCTACTGCAATGCCCTGCTCCAAGATCACTTCACCTGGAAGAAAAAACTCTTCCCGCAGTCTAATTACCTATAACACAGACAGGTGCATTAATAAACTTCTTAAAATCATTCCAGCTGAATATAGGTGCAGAAGTAACCAAAACAACTACTAATATCAACGAGTAGAACTCAACTAAGCAGAATGGGACTAATTACACAGATGGTGAAAAAAAGCACATGTACATTAGATAGAAATATAATCATTAAATCTGCAGACAGGAGAAGGTGTCTAATTTAGGAATCAGTCCCAAGTGATTTCTCCTCTGAAGGATGATCGAGATAATTCAATGTACTGAAGTTAATAATACCAAGAGTACTCAGAATAAATAAATAAGAATTGTATATGAATTGATGATTAATTTTAGTTGGGATAATAGTATTGATGATGAGGATGAAGAATGATTAATTTTAATAAAGTGAATAAAAGCACTATTTGCAATTGAGTTTAAGCAACAAAAGTTTGGTTCTTTGATGACTTATTATGTCATTGCTTAACTATCGCTAAAAGTTACATTCACTTAGTTATATCCTTGAGAGGATAAATTTAACATAACATATCTGGAATACTTCAGATATAGATTCCAACATGTCTATAATATTTTTACAATTAGCAAGAGTTTTCATGGGTAACTTAAGTATAGAAAAGCCGGCTTCCAGTTTCCTATATCAGAATGAACAATTACAATATTTTGATGCAGCTTATAAAATGAATTTGCTAGGCATATTCATCAAATTCATGGAATTCTACTAAGGAAAGAAGTGAATGTGGGGCAAAAAAAAACAAACTAAATGTTCCATATTCAGACAATGGTTGATTTATATTTCTGATAATAATCTTCAAGCTAACCAAGGACTGTCTGCTGCAATGCAAAATCTCCTTCCAGTGAAGGAACACTACAATCAACTGAATCAAGCAATTTATGGGCAAAATTCAGTCAAGTTATTGTAGCTGATGCAATGATAAAATTATGTAGGTAAAGAAGAAAAGAAATTTGTTGAATTATATGATAACAAAATATTTTAACCCATTCCAACATATGAATGAGCTATAATATCATGTTATCTAATAAAAATCAAACTCAGGACTAACTAACAATTTGAATAGGCTACAATATCATGCAATTTAATAAAAATCAACCTCACGACAAACTTACAATTTGATGAATAAAGTCTGAAGAGCATCCCTTAAAAAGTTGAACATTTTCAATATATGGCTTGTATAAGCTTTCTGAAATCTGAAACAACAATTTAGCTTGTCAGTCATCTGCAGTAAATGCCATGCCATGTAAGACCAGCAAATTTTAAACCAAGCAAACAACTGAAAAAGGAGATGCATGCGCTGAGCGATCATTAAAATAAAAAACAGGCTAAAAGCTTATTAGACTGGACTTGTAATGGTTAAACTAGATTTCTAAGAGTTAAGTGCAAATGGGAAGATGAAGCTCATCAAACTGGTACCAATATGAACCTAGTTTTTTCTATCTAAATATATAAGAGGGAAGAAAGCATAATTTTAAAATGTAAGAGGGGCAGTCTTCACACAAATTATGCATCACAATTGGAGATTTAAAGTGACCGACCAAGTTCATCATCCTTTTTCACCTTAGCACGAATTGAAACTGGAATATCCTGAAGAACAGAAGCTTCTGTGTAGCTACTCTCATATTGCAACCGAACATGTCCTTTAATTTGCTCACGGATACCCTTTTCAAGTCTGTTCCTATTCATATATTTAATAAGATCTTTCATTTTGTCCCTAAACCTTTCTGTCTTCGATCCTTTCACAATCAGTGCAGTCATGTTACCAATCAAGTAAGCCCCAAGAATCATGTCAAATGAGACATAAATCATGATGAAGACCATTTCCCTAATATTAACTGCGTGTATATCACCATAGCCTGTGTGCAACAATGATCAAATCAGATAATCTTCACATAGTAGCAGAAACTAATTATAAAGCATCGCAAAAAGAAAAGCTAAAGTAAAAAAAAAAATTAATTTAGAAAAGCACAAGGCTTTATAGCATGTTAAATTCAGAGCAAAAAATATCAAACTAGTTCTTTCTCTTTAAGCTTATTCCCGTCAATTCTTAACCCTGCAGCCATTAAAATAGCCACAGTAATGTTGTAGCATCTTAAATTAATCAATTAATACATTTTGTTGATATTATTTTTTCTTGGTGTAAAATGTAAAATCATAAAGACTAGCACTGCAACACCTTTATTGCAATGGGAAACATTCACCACTTCAAGCAAGAGGCATAGAGAGTGATGTAGTTAAGAATTTATGATTTATGTATTTTTAATTTTTTCGTGTTATTGGACGCTATGTTTTTTTATTTTTGTATTACCCTATAATAGAAAAAAAAAAACCAAGGATAATGCTGTGTTCGATGCTCTCGGGTTGGTTTATACTATTGACTTTTCATTTGAGTTTCATCTTGCTTCCTTTCTCCTTGTTGGCCGGTTGGGTATTTAGTTGTGGGATGTTTTTTTCCTTAGTGGGCTTGACCCATTTTTCCCCTTATTTTATGGCTACTTGGGATTCTTCCCTCTCCCCTTTGGCTGATCGGATTTCCTTGCTTTACGGCTGCTTGGGATTCTTCCCCTCTCCATTTGGTTGTTCGGTTTTCCCCTTTTACTGATTCCTATGCTTGATGCTTTAGCTTCTCCTTTGAGAGCTGATTTGAATTACTTTTATTGGCTGAATTGTTGGCTCATTTAATTGAACAATTAAATGCTCTTTCCTCTCCTTTTCCTATATAAATGATTCTCTATTGTAAAGGGGTGTTTTTGGTAAAAAAATTCAACCTGAGAGTTCCTTTGTGGCTTGCGAGCTAGTCTTCCCCTATTCCCTATTACTTCCTCTTGGTCTTCTTTCTACTTCTTCCCTCCACGGTTTCCCTTCCACCTGTATCTTTCTTCTCTAAACTTTGTGAGCTGTGAGGTAGTGTTGTTACCCTGTTCTGTTGGTATTTGTCCGAGGAGTGCAGACTTGTGCCGGATCAAGTTTCAGTGGTGGATTTTTACTTTGAGCACCTTACCCTAGCTTTGTGTATTGCATGTGAGGTGACCATTCGTGATTGTTCTGAGGGAATTTGTTATTTAAGTGTTTTGAATCTTTCCTTCCTACGAGATTTCCTAATCAGTTTCTAACATTTGTTTCAACTAAGTTAATTTATGTTTGTTTTTGTGTTATTGAAAGGATGTTGTTTTTTAATTGTGTTCCTAATTATTCTCTTAAATGGTTTAGGACTTTCGGTTGCATCAATTTAGTATCAGAGTCTTAGATTGTAAGGCAAGTCTTCCTTTATGTATTAAACAAAAAATGAATAATCAAAATAATCAATAGGCGGATTGACAATATATGATAATGCAAAAAATGGCTAGAGGTGTCAAAGCGGGTCAACGGGTTGGGTTTGGGTCCAACTCAAATTGACCCGGATCCACACAGGATGACCCTAACCGGACCCAATTTTGCAAAGGGATTAGGAATTTCAACCCAGACACAACATGCCAAATTGACCCGAGTCGATCCAGATTCTGGTAGCCATATCTGTAGATTTGTGCTCAGGGGCTGCTTGAGGAAACAAAAACAACGTCGGAGGAGGCGAAGAAGCTTTAACCCGTTCAGAACTTTGATCAGACAGAAACAACATCAGAGGAGGCGAACTTGCGAAGAAGCTTGGACCAGTTCATAACTCCGATCAGACAGGAACAACATCGAAGGAGGAGAACTGGCGAAGAAGCTATGACCGTTCAGAACTTCGATCCGACAGGAACAACGTCGAAGGAGGAGGCGAAGAAGCTTGGACCAGTTCAGAACTTTTATGTGACAGGAACAATGTTGTGGGACGGGAGGAGGCCAAAAAGCTTGGACCTGTTCATAACAACATCAGAGGAGGGAACGAAGCTTGGACCCATGCATTGCTCCTGGATTGATTCCAGGTCAACCCGAACCCGACACTGTTTTATAAACAGGTCAGGAAAACCCGAACCCGGCCCGTCAGGCAAACAGGTTGACGCGAACTCGGAATTTTTCGGGCCGGGTTCGGGTCGGGTCAAATATTTACACCCCTACAAATGACAAATTTACAACAACAAATGGAAGTAATGGCTAATACTCTAACTGCATTAAATATAAATAATGTTAATATCCAAAACAACGAAACTGAAGAAGAAGCACTACAAATCCAAAATAGAAATAATAGACAATGGGATCACGAGATTAAATCGATGCCAATGAATTCGATAACAAATTAAAACCCTTAAAAAAAATGGAGCGGGCGTTCTCTAACTAACTGTTCTTAGATTGAAGCTGAGTTACAGCTTCGTCGTCCTGATATCTATCAAGGTATTACAAAAACATTCTCATTAGGAGATGAGATTCTTCCACCATGGGAGAATTGATGTAGTAAAAAATTTACTTTTTATGTATTTTTAATTTTTTTGTGTTATTGGACACTATGTATTTTGTTATTGTATTACTCTATGATGGAAAACAACAAAGGATCATACTGGGTTCGATGCTCTCGGATTGGTTCATGCCATTGACTTTTCATTTGAGTTTGATCTTTCTTCCTTGCTCTTTATTGGTTGGTTGGGTATTTGATTGTGGGTTATTATTTTCCTTACTGGGCTTGGCCCATTTTTCCCCTTGCTTTATTGTTGTTTGGGATTCTTTTGATGTGAAACGAACATGCAAGGTTGAATAATTTAAGGAATTTGTACGCTTAATGTTAGAAGCCACAATAATTATATCTTTATATTAATTTTAATCGACAAAATAAAATACAAAGAGCGGTAAGACAAGCTTAGGCTAAACCACATGCATGAGTTAAGATTGTAAAATAGTCAATTTAGTCTAACATTGCATACATGAATTATTTTCAACAATAAATCTCAATGCTAACAATAAGATTAGGCACTATGCAAGAATCCCTCACTCAACTCTTTAGTTATCTAAGCTTTAGCGGGGAAGAATTAGCATGATCGTTGTTAATTAAAATATAACCACGATTGAGAAATAAACTAAGAAGATAAGTGAATTGGAGGAAGAGTTTACCCAAAGAAGGGGAGTTACGATGTTTCGATGTGGTCGATTATGAGCTTGGGGAAGAGTGGACAGCAATTTTAGGATTCGAAGCCTCACGATGGCGATCAGAGACCTTCTGGACAACGGGAAAGCCATATAAGGTCACCAAAATGGCTGGACAACAGCTAGGGACGTCTTAGATAGCAACAATGAAGGTCGAGACAGCAGTTTGGCACTTGAAATAATTCTGGACAGCAACTTCGCAGACTTGGACAATAGTTCCAGCACTTGGAAATTCTGGACAGCAAATTGTATGACAACACGTGACGGATTGCTGGATAGTAGGCAAGAGAGGAATTGGTGATAATATTGCTGGCCAGAATTTTCTGGACAGCAAATTCCTATCTTCAAATCCCTGGACAGCCGTGAGAGCAGTTTTAGTAGGCTAGGGTGTGAACTTTAAATGGGGTTATTCAGTCGGCTAAAGGAGTGGGGTTTGGCCGTGGGTGGGAAGGGAAAAGGTGGGTCGGATTAGGAGAGGGTTGAAGTAGAGAGGCCTAGGTTGAAAATCTGAAGTTAATTCTTAGATTTAGAGGGAGGGAAACTTTAATTTGAAATTCAAATTAATTCCCAAATGGTGGCTTGATTGGGGCGGCAGCCAAGGGAGGTTTAATGGAGATTTAATGAGGGTCTAGGTGGCGAATTGGAGAGAGAAAGGGGCTCGAGAGGAGGCCGGCCACATAGGATGAAGTTTGAGGTGTTTTCATTAATGCGTGGACCCGGAAAGGATTTAATTGAGGATTGCCATTAAGTTTGAAATTGATTTCAGATTTTATTGTGTTTAGGAGGTTTCCTAATATACGTTATTAATATGGAAAGCTTTAGAATTCAAATTTGAATTTGAATCTAAATGAAATAACTTTTCTAAATTAATAGGGACGTAATTTAGGAAAGTAATTAAGGGTGATTTTGAAATTTGAAATTCAAAATCCTTGGGTAGTGGATTGATGGCCGGCGGTTAGTGGGGCTTGGGGGAGGTCGGCGGGGAGGGTTGGCTGGGGATTCGGTGGTTGCCGGGTGAGGGGCAGGTCGGCGGCAAAAGGAGAGGCGATTTGGGTGGGATTCGATTTAGGGAGGAGGAAAGGGTTTGGGGTTTTGGGAGGCCGGCGGGTAGGGGCTAGTAGGGGAGATGAAAGTAGAAAAAAATTAGAAAAGAAACGAATGGCGCCGTGAACCTTGGAATCCACCGAAGGTTGATGGATATTGCTCACACCCACCAAAGGTCTCTCCTCTCAAGAACTTACTTAGAGATCAAGTAAGAAATATGAAATTTCATTCATAATTCATCATTCACCCTCAAGAAAGGAGGGGAGGGCTTTAAATAACCAATACAATGTGACAAATAAAAAGTACTAAAATGCCCCTAGGACTTACACGTCTAAACCCTTAGGTAAGGGCAAAAGTGGAAAAGACAACAAAATCATAAACAAAACTAATACATCAAATAATAAAAATGAACATAAAACAAAGTAGATCGGATGTCCTCATCATCTTCCCTCTCCCTTTTGGATGTTGGATTTTCCCTTGCTTTATGGCTTCTCGGGATTCTTCCCCTCTCCCTTTGGTTGTTTGGTTTTCCCCTTTTACTGATTCAAATGATTGATGCTTTAGCTTCTCCTTTGGTTGAACTGTCGGCTCATTTAATTGAACAACTAAATGCTCTTTCCCCTCCTTTCCCTATATAAAGTGGGGGATTCTCTATTGTAAAAGGGAATTTTTGGTGAAAATTTTCAACCCGATGGTTCCTTTGTGGCTTGCAAGCTAGTATTCTCCCTATTCCCATTTACTTTCTCTTGGTCTTTTTTCTATACGATTTTCCTTCCACCTGTATCTTTCTTCTCTAAACTTTGTGAATTGTGAGGTAGTGTTATTACCCCGTTCTGTTGATATTTACCTGAGGAGTGCAGACTTGTGTTGGATAAAGTTTCAATGGTGGATTACTAGTTAGAACTTTCCTTTAAGAACATTTCCCTAGTTTTGTGTATTGCATGTGAGGTGACCACTCATTATTGTTTTGAGGGATTTTATTGTACAAGTGTTTTGAATCTTTTGTTCATATGTGATTCCTAATCAGTTTCTAAAGTTGGTGGTTTCTACCAAATTAATTTCTATTTGTGTTTGTGTTATTGAAAAGAAGTTGTTTTTTAATTGCATTACTAAGTGTTCTCCTAAAAGGTTTAGGACTTTAGGCTGCATCAGAGAGCTAATCCGGCTTGAACTGAACTTGTTAACAAGTTTGCAAATGGAGCTTACCAGGCCATGAGTTTGAGGTTGATGAGGCTCAACTAGTTGGCAAACAAGCTGGCTTGATTAAAACCCCTAAATCCTGATTGTCATTCCGCTCTAGTTGAAGGTAGCCGCAACTTGCGAATGGAAAATCTTACAACTCATTTTCTTCTCTAAACACTAATTGGCCTGTAAATGCCTTGTCTAACAAACTCTTGTAGGGACTTCTCTACCATTTGTCTCATCGATGCCTTCTCTAGCAAAATTTCTGTCAAGACTCCCTTCAATGTTTGCTCCAGTGAGCTCTCGTTGCAACTACAACAAATGTTACTATTAGACCGGTCTAACGGTCCACACGGGACCAGCTCACGCATAACAGAGACGGAAATCTTCCGCCTCCTAAACAAGTTGTTCGCACCGCCACGCGAGCCATTTAGGAAGGATTTTTTAGGGAGTTAGGAGGGAAATTTGAATGTATGGATTATTTAGAGATTTCCTTTTAGATTGTATGCATTAAATAATTTGTTTTCCTAGGGTTATGACATCTTGAATTTGGCTGAAATTTGAGATCCCTTAGGTTTTTGGGCTCTAGCGACGTCTAGAGATTTGGGAGAGAGAGATCCTCCTCTCGAATTGAGGATCGACTGTATCTTGGTATTTTCCTGTCGTATCTTTTATTATTGCAATAAAACCTATTATTTTTCTGGTTTACATTGGAGTTTGGAAGCGTTTTCTCGTTGTTTTTCCGAAATTGATAGGATTTACTTGAAATCTTCAAGTGTTTCCCATAAATTGCCAATGTTGTCATTGTGTTCTCCAGTAATTCCCCACTGATTCCATCTCCAATAAGCCCCCATCCTTCTCTAGCGAGTTCCCGTCGGGACTTTTTCTTATGCTCAAGCAAGTTGTTTTCAGGTGAACCAAACTTGAGTTCACTGTATGAGCTTAACTCAAGCCCAATACCAACTCAAGCTCAAATTCAAGTTTGAGCTTGCCATTGAGTAGGTGAGCCAAGCTCGAATTAGTTCTAACTAGAACTCAATTCAACTCATTTATACCCCTACTTCAAATTGTTAGTGACCTACATACAGATAAGTACCTAGCCATCATTAAAACCTCACAAATTATATTCTACAAATGAGTCAAAATAAGATCAAGAAAAACCTATTAAACTATCAATCAAAGCACTTTCTTGAATAAAATAGCTTCTAGAAATGGCTCCATTAGAATCTAGTTTAAATCAAAGTAGGAATAAGAGAGGCATGGAGTCATTGTACACCAAGTGGCAGGAAAACAAGACATAAATAAATAAATAATATATAGCAAAATTCACATTCTAAAATGAAGGGCAAAGGCTGGTCTACCATGAAAATGGGCATAAATTGCATAGATATCAATAAAGACATAATTAAAACTTTCACAGATTTCCTCATGCTTATGAGATTTTCCAACAATTTTTAAATTATTCTAAAATAATAAACTCCTCAGCAGTTATTTATAACTACATTCCTCATGAATAATCATCCTATTCTCTTCCATTTTTTGTCCACAATTAAACCAACCATTCTTATTTGGGACAACTGGCAAATGCATTTTGTAGGTCATTCGCCTTTGGCATTTTTTCATCTTATCATTCTTGCATTTGTAAGCTGCTAATTTCACAACAACAATGACATTCTACTTGAAAATCCATCGTTTGGTTTGCAGATGCCCTCAAAAACTAGTTTTACTCATCTGTTTTGAATTAATCCCTTACACTTATCATGATCAACAATGAAAGCATATCTCAGCATAAAAGCAAAATTCTTAGTTTGGACACCATGTTATGTCCATTAGATAATTCAGTATTACATTACTCTACTTCATTATGCATTCATCATTTTGTTTCCAATTTGTGAATAGCTCTCTGATTCCATAACTGTAAAAATTCTATATTCATCTTAGTTTGGAGATGGCCTCATAAACATTGATCTGTTTATCTAGCTTGCATTACTCACTTTGAATATCATGATATACAATGATTTGAACTCAAGTTTGTGGCAATAAAATTTTGGCTATTAATGGAATGTTTACAAAGCATTTTTGCATGAAAGAAGGAAAATGAGGACTGTAGAGCTATGAGCAATCCAAAATATATATTAAACTCATGGCTTGGATATTAGTATTCTGTCACAATAACCCAAAATAATGTCCAATCTTAACAGATCCTCTAATTTTCCATCACTTTCTCAACACTTTTCTTCTTAAAGCACATCAGTACATGACCTTTAATAAGATCCCAGGCATTCTTCTTCATGGTCCTCTAACATAGACAATATTTTAAGCTACTTCTGGTACAATTATGAAAACCAAGCAGGAACTAGCACAAAGGAAGAGCTTACAAGAACCACAAATCAACAGAATGCACCTAAACATTCCAACAAACAAACCAAAAAAAGATAATGCAAAAAGCATATTTAAAATGAAGCACATTCTTCAATCAGCTAAAAGATCAATTAGCAAAGAAAAAACTAGCATAAAAGTAATTGCAGACTACGAGCAATAGGTTTAACGCAATCACAACGATTTAAAATAAAATAATCCCAATTTCCTAACATGCAAGGTTAACACATACCAACAGTAGCCATGGTCACAATGGCAAAATACAAAGACGTCAAATAGCGTCTCCAGAAGTCTATTTGCCGGAAATTTTGATAGCTGTAGTCGCCCAACTTCAAGCTCCCAATCCACGTATACCCTTCCTTAGACTGCGGCAGAGTGGTGGCGAGGTAGTAGAATATGCAGGCAGCCGTGTGCGTGCAATACAGTTCGACAACAATGAGCTTTACAATCCTCGTAAACAAATAATTAATGCGAATGTCCTTCTCCATCTTCTGAAAGAAGCCAATAACTTTCCGCACCCGGCACAACCGAAGCCATAAGAGGTACCTCACCTCTTCTTTCCTCCCACAGACCTAGAAACCAAGATTAATGGTACTGTGATTGGAATGAGATTGGATTGATGTAGAAGTGGCAAAAGAAGGGTAGGATAAGGTACCTTGTAGATGAGATCCCACGGGAGGCAGCTGAGGGAGTCGAGAATGAAGCCGGACTTGAAGTAGCGGAAGGCAATGGACGCAGGGCTGTAGATCATGCGGTAGGTACGGGAGTCGCGGTAGGCCAGGTGGAACTGGATGACAATGTCGGCGAAGAATGCAATCTGGCCGGCAATGTCGAGGAAGAAGAGGTTGCGAGGGAGTCCACGGAAAAAGCCGAACTCCAGTGGGGTGAAGCAGGAAGAATGTACCGCCCATATCAATATGAAGTGTGTCCAAAACTGGTATAACCTACAACCATGCAGCAGGTTCGCTCCGTCAAGCCCAAGAACGCTGGATCAGCTGCTAACAGGAGAACCCTTATTCTAACCCTTTTACTCGTACGAGAATCCGCCGTCAGGAGAGGAAACACGAGAAATTAGTTTCCAGTTAAGGGGGTGTTTGGTATAAGATTGAATTTAATTTTAGTAGGATTTACTAAATCCAGTAAATCCAAATTTAGTAAATACTAGGCTCATAAATTCTGAATTGTGTTTGGTATAAAAAATTTTAAATCATGTTAAATTCAAAAAGATATTTGGCAACAAATTACAAGATTTAAAACGGTTGAAGATTTAAAATAAAAGGAGTAATATGCAAAATAATTCATCAAACATAACATCATTCACCAAAAAGAGCATATATTCGAGAGCATCTTCCTCACGATGATCGATTTCTTTGACTCGTTGTCGCTCACACTTGCTACTTTCATATCGACAAAGCCTAGATTTTTATTAAAAGAGCATATATTCTCATCGTGTTATATTTGTCAATCAAAGTAGTATAATATTTTGTATAATTTAAAAAAAAAAATACTATAATTCAATTAGGACAAACTTCAACTAAAGATTAAGACTTGAATATCATAATTTAAATTATATCTTTGCTGCTTAAGAAAAAAATTAAAACAATTCACACAAAATGATAGCTTATATAATCTAGAAATGCCACAAACAGAATTTACAAAGAGTCACTCTCGGGAAGAAAAAAAAATGAATGAACGCATAAATTGTTAAGGCATGCTGAGGTGAAACAAAAAAAAAAATCTCATTTCCTCTCTGTCGTGAAGAAAAAAAACAGGGCAGCGGCGGTATTCCTTTTGAGCGTTCGGTATTCCTCTCCCTTCTGTCGTGCTCGTGAAGAAGAAAAAAAAAAAAACAGCTGCTCGCTCTTGCTCGATCGGGAAGAGGATACCAAAATACCGCTGAAAAAAAAAATTTTTTGGGAGTACCTGCGGGACCTTGAGCGGGAACCAGCGACTGCGCTTCGGGAACGGCTAGGGCACAGGATGAAGATGAAGCTGCGTCTTCCTCAATGTAAATTGCGTTGAATCCGTTGGTAGCTCGCTCGCTGTGAAGGTAACTTTCTCCCTTTCGCGTGGTTCTTCGGCCAAATCCCGTAAATCCGACTCCTAGCCGGATTAGGATTTACTGGGATTTAGCGGATTTACGCCGTAAATCCGCAAATCTGGGATTTACAAATTTGCCGGATTTACGTCGACATTTTTTGCGTTTGGCTGGATTTATCGTAAATCCTGCTTAAAATTCCAAATAAATCCGATACCAAACACCCCCTAAAAGTTGACCATTACATATTATAATTTTTTTAAGACATCTAAATGAATTAAGAGGATTGGTTCCAAATTTTAACATTTATTTAACCATAATTGATCTAATTCTTATCAAATATTTTTTTAGCCTTTTAGATCATTAAATCATAGTGGCCTTCGTAAATTATTTTTTTCTCCTTTTAGTGTTATATTCAGATTTTAATAAGAAATTGGGAATCAATATTTAGAAAATCCTAAGGTAATTTTTTTTTGAGATTTTTTTAAATAATAACTAATAAACTACAAAAACAAGTAACTTAAAGAAATCTTTTTTCAATCACTAAATTGCAGATCCTTCCAGAATTTTATTCGAGACGTCAATTGGAAGCATAAAAGATCCTTAGATCATCTTTCTTCTCTTCCATCACTTCATCTTAATTAACTCTAATAACTCACTAATCAATATTTACAATTAATAATTTATTAGCGTTTTTAACATACTGATCAATATTTGTAATTAATTATTTATTTTAATTAAATTTTCAAGTAACAATTATCGCTATTAGGTAAATCCTTATCATTTTCTGATTATATAATTAAACATTATAAATTATATATTAATTAACATGAGCAAATAATCAACTTATAAATCTAATTAAAACATTAAACCCAAAAAATAAGAGCCAAATTATTTATAAATATTTAGTTAAATTTATTAGTTATCACACGGGTCAAGATTTAACACTCAAGAATATTTACTGATGATATAAGTATTTCAGATATTTGAATGTTTCAAATGTAATATAAATTAAATACGCTATAGTTTAATTTTTTAAGATCGGTCAATTAATTTAAAACAAATTCACAAAATTTATTTTTTTATATTCGGCTACATGTAAAAAAAATTAACTATAGGGCACTAACAAGCGCGGATGATGCAAACGATTAGGGTGTCAATATTTGACACGATCCGAAAACCTGTTCTAAAAATTTAGGGTTACAGTCAACCCATTTGGCAAACGTGTTGAGTTTGAATTCCAAATTTTGACCAGTCTAAAAAATTAGGTCGGATCCAGGTCAACCCGTAAACCCGATCTGACCTAATTCCACCGCCTTAGCCAGTCCGTGTGAGGTAAGGTTTTGAATGAATGATAAAAGACTTCTTCACATCCTTCAATGATGATCCTTCATATAGGGTCAAAAGTCACGACATCTAGATAGGAATTGGAAGTAACGACGACGATGGGAGGATCCGGACTTCATAGGGAGTTTGCTCGTTGCGAAGGTAACCATTTTCTCTCATTCGCGTGCTTCTTGGCGTTCTCGCACTAAAGACTTCTTCGTCTCCTTCGATGACCTTCCTTGTTGTTGGATCGGAAGTCAGGACAACTAAGAACGTTGGATCAAAATTGGAAGTAAAGACGGCGACCGGAGGGTCCGGAGGGAGCTCGCTCGTTGTGAAGGTAACCATTTTATGATTTTTCTCCCATTCGCGCCCTTCTCGCACCGAAGACTTCTTCGCCTCATTCGGCGACGTTCTTTCCTGGCTTCTTGTCGGGTCGAAAGTCACGACACCTCGTCATTCTTTTGTTGGATTGAAAGTAACAACGACGATGGGAGGGAGATCAATCGTTGCGAAGGTAACAATTTTTTACCATCGTGTGCTTCTCACACCGTGGTTTCGTGTCGGGTCAAGTCAACCCAAAAATCCGACGGGTCGGTCTGGGTTGAAATTTCTTACACTTCTGCAAAAATGGATCGGATTAGGATCATGTTAAATAGTAGCGGCTCAATATCGGATTTGATCGGAGTCCGATCAACAACCGGATTTTAACAACCCCTACCAACGATATTGATAAAGTGTGTGGTCTCAAACATGGGCCACAAGAGTGTGGCGGCATGCATGAGGGGAATATCGACGCGTGATCACAAGTATGAGCAAAATGAGAATACAAACGCAAGATGTAATATTGGGTGCGTGATACAAGAATGCATTGGTATCGCCAGTAATTGAGTATTATTAATCTCCACTATTTTTTTCTACTTCAAACTAAACAACAGAAAAAAAAAATGTAAACTTAAATATTTTCTTTACTACAAACTGAACACCACAAGAGGTACCTCACCTCTTATGTTTTCATTACAATTAGGTCAAATTATGATGTAACACTTAAAAGGTAAAGTCCTAATTAACAACCACCTACTTTTAACCATAGCTGTGAAAGTTGTAGAATTTCAATAAAATTTAATATTCCATCTAGCGATTACCTACTTCCCACTATACTTAGGATATGACACATCACTTATGTGAAAATGCCTAGCATTAGTGAAAATTTAGTTTTACGAATGATTGTCAAATTAATATCAATCTTTAACCTTTCTCATATAGATTAGAGATCGACTACAAAATTTATCAACAACAACAACAACATCAAGCCTTTACCCCACCATGCGGGGTTGGCTAAATGAATCTTTTTTCTCCATTGTGTCATGTTAAGAAATAAATTATCATTTAAATCTAATAAAAAAATCATTTTTAATATTTTCTAAACAAATCTTTTTAGGTCTGCCTCTACCTTTCTTAACATAAGTAAAATCTAATACATCTACTTTCCTAACGGGGTCATCAGAAGGGCGCCATTTTATGTAATCAAACCATTTAAGACGACACTCCATAATCTTATATTCCACTGGAGCTGTTCCAACCTTTTCACTTATATGCTCATTTTGTATCCCGTCTCTAAGAGTAAAGCCACTTATCCACTTGAGCATCCTCATCTTTGCAACACTTAACTTAAAATTATACTTCTTTTTTAATGGCCAACATTCAGCATCATAAAGCATTGCAGGTCTAACCACCATCTTATAGAATTTTCCCTCAAGTTTGAGGTGAACTTTTTTATCATAAAACAAACCCGATGCACTCCTCCACTTCAACCATCCAACTTGAATTCTACGAATAACATCCCCAGCTATTTCACCATCACTCTGAACAATAGACCCAAGATATCGAAAACATGTACTCTGACGTGATCACCCACAATCACAATCCATTCACTAGATCTATTATTATTAAAATTGCACTCCCTACATTTAGTTTTAGATCTACTTGAATGAAAACCTTTAGACACTAAGATTGACCTTCATAATTTAAGTATACCTTCAACTCCCTCTCTAATCTTATCATGAAGAAAAAAATCATCAACAAAAAACATACACCATGATACAACCTCTTGCAAATGTCTAGTGAGAACATTCATGACTAATGCAAAAATATATGGGCTTAAGGCTGATCCTTGATGTAATCTAACTAAAATAGGAAAATACTTGGTCAAAATACCTCGTGTTTGAACAGAAGTAACAACTCTTGCATCTATATCCTTAATAACTTGAATATAAGCATTATTATCCTCTTTCTTTTTTAAAACTCTCTATAGCACTTCTCTTGGAACTTTATCATATGTTTCCTCTAAATTAATAAAAATCATATGTAGATCCTACTTATTCTCTCAATACTTCTGACACAATCCAACCTGATATTATTTGATATCACACAACTCATATTGTGTCAAATTGTGGCAAGACTGACCCCAAGATCTGGTGGAAGAAGAACTGAAATAAAACATCCAATTTATATACTACGCATAGCCACTATTGAATACAATATAAAGCGGAAGAATCTCATCATGATTTTTTATATATC